GCTATCGAACCGACCAACGGTGGAAGCATCTCACCGTCGCTTCTGTACTCTATGGTAGTGAAAGTGGCGACATGGTGATCGCTCAATCTATAGTAGTGAGGCAGAGAGAGAGAGAGAGAGAGAGATTTGTTTAAAGACCAAGGCTCTATTTCCTTCTTGAGTTGGAATAGTTACAATGCCGCTATATTTATATCCCTATTGGACTTGCACACCAAGCAATTAATCTATTAAGGAGTTCTTATAGATTTGGACTCCCCTTTCCTAAAACAAAACTCTCCCATTCCTAAACAAAATATCCACCTATTATCCCTATCTTTTCCCTAAATATCTTTATTCTCCTAAATCATCTAGAACTCGGGATGACGTGGAGGTGGAGGGCCGCCGTCCCCCTTGTCGCGCCTCCTCCAGGCACGTGTGTGTGCCCCATAGCCTTGGCTGCCGCCAGGTCACAGACTCTCGCCGGCCCCCTAGGCCCGCTATGGGGGCCTCCATTCGAGAGCTTGACACAAGCGTTGTAATCCACCCACCTCTAGAAAAAACATTTTCACAGGTGTCCTTTTGACCCTCTATTATTAGTGATTAACACAGACTATCATCCAGAGGTGGGATCTTGATCTGCCTCTAGAAAGCATTTTTGGTCGCCTTTGGACAGTTAGAATGTAGTAAAGCTTAATTACAATTATCAAAAAAAAGTAAGGTTCACTAATATTTTCATTGGTTGTATTCTAAAATGTTGTCGCTTAGTTTCTAACCGATGTATCAATATTAAATGACTAATATTTCTCACAGCCATCTTCTTATTGTTCTTCTTCGGCCCACACAATGGCCCATCACCACTCACCCGAACCCCCATTCCCACACCATCCTTTATTCACTAACTCTCTCTCTCTCTCTCTCTCTATATATATATATATATATATATACACACACACACACACACACACACGGGGTAAGGCTATTCTGCAGCTAGCCACAGAAGCCACAGAATAACTTATTCTATGACCACCTTAATTTACGATAATGTTTGTACCAATTTACGATAATGACAATACACATTTACGATACATGGGTTACTATAATTCAAGATGATACTTACCATAATGCTATAGTAAATCACTTAAGAGGGAGTTACCATAATCTCATAAATTAGTATAGTAATTATCGTAACTTAAAGTGGCCACAGAATAACTTATTCTAAGGCCAGCTACAGAACAGTACATCTATATATATATATATATATATATATATTTGGAGATTTTTCCTCAACCCTATCTAACCTATTCCCCTCTTCCCCTCCCTCACCAACGGCGGCGGCGCCGCCACCACTCATACTCTCTATCTCCGCCCACACCATTGCCTCTATGCACTCCACCTCTGTTATTTGATCAGCTATATCTCGTGATCCCATCCAAACAACGTCCATAGAAAGAAATCCATAAACTTCATCCTTTCCAGGGTGTTGTAGTCAAGATAGAAGACTCGCCACAATCTCGATCCATATATCCTAGTCATGTTGCACAAATCCATCAGAATTGCCCATTGAAAGAGATCCATAAACTCCATTATTCCTAAGGAGCATAGTCAAGATGGAGGACGCCCCTGCTACAAAGAAGAAGAGACTTGAAGGTCCGTGTCACAAAGAATCTACTCCCAAAGAAGGAAATGAAGACGATGTTGACCATATAAGCTGCCTCCACAATGGCATCCTAGGTGAAATTATCTCCCTCCTTCTTACCATGGATGGTGTGCGTACAAAGTGTCTATCCTCCAAGTGGAGCCGCCTTTGGCTCTCTGCCCCTCTTAATTTTGACTCTTGTGATCTCCAAGATCCCAATGATGATAAAGACCTTGTGAGCATCATTTCCAGCATTTTTTATGCTCACCCTGGACCTGCCCGACGCTTTTGCATCCCAGCACACTATCTCTGCACCAACATTGACAATGTTGTTACTTGGCTTCAGTCCCCCACCCTTAATGGGCTACAAGAGCTTGAGTTCCACATCCCAGAAGTTGACTTTACATTGTCACTATATCCCCCACCACCAGCATCCATCTTTCGCTTCTCATCCACACTCCGTATTGTCTCCTTTGGTGGATGCCGCCTCCCAGATGTCATGGTCAATCAGCTCCAATTCCCCAACCTCCAGCAGCTTACACTGTTTGATGCTATTATCTCTGAGGAGACCCTACATGCCATGCTTGATAGTTGCCCCGCACTCGAGAACTTACTGATGAAATACAATGAAGGTTTTCGTTGTGTTCGGATCTTTCCCGATCCCTTAAGAGCATAGGTGTTCATACTGATTCTTTTCGACAAGGTCCCACTCTAGAGGAGCTCATTATTGAGGATGCCCCATTCCTTGAGAGGCTTATTAGTTTTGAGCGATATAGCAGGTTGCACATATCAGTGATCTCAGCACCAAAGCTGGAAACCTGGGTTGCATTTTTTAGAATAGTAACAAGACAATGCTCACTCTTGGATCTACGACTTTTCTGGTAACTAGAACCCTCTCTGAAGTCCCATTGTTCACACTTACATGTTACTTGTATTGCGTATTCCAAGTCATTGTGAATTATGGTCTGTTTTAGGCACAAAAATTCCATTGGAAACATTTGAGCACCCTGCACCCACATTGATCTTCATTTAGAGAATTTTATTTTATAACTTGTTATGATTCCCTAACATAATGTTTATTTAACCAAGGGAATACGTTCGGTTGACGTGAGAGCAATGGTGCCGATGCATATTGTCAAGGTCTTATTTGTGTTCCTTTTGTCTCTCTGACTGGATGATGTTCTCAATTTCATTAGATGTTTTCCGTGCCTGGAGAAGCTGTACATCCAGCTGGTAATGTTTCTTACTTCAGTATATAGTTCACACATACAAAGTTAATTTGGTCTCCATAATGTTGTGGACATCCTTGTTCTGATTTCTTGGTCTGAACTAATATTTCACACTCATTTTAACTTCCAGTTGTCTCATGCACAAGGGCACACGAACCGGTGGCGCTATAAACACAGGAATCTAATAAAATCCCTTGACCTTCGCTTGAAAACAATAGTGATGACAAATTATCGGGGTGAGGCAGAACAATCAGAATTTGTGACATTTTTTGTGGAGAATGCAAGAATGCTTGAGTCTATGAGGTTTGTGGTCCCAAGTTGTTTCTATCGTGACAAGAACTGGATAAGAAGGCAGCATAGACAGCTCAAGCTGGACAAGAGCTCTTCCAGAGGTGCTACATTTACTTTCACAGACAATCAATGCCACCACAATATGATACATGTTTTGCGGGCCAGTGATCTGTCAGCAGCTGATCCGTTTGACTATAACTGCTTAATCTGGCATTCATATGAAAAATTGTCGTACCTTAAATAATCTTGGTTGTTACTTTGCTTAAAACCATATTGCATTCCTTTTCAGAAACACCCCTTGTAATCCCCTTCGCATAAATAATGCTTCAAATTTGTTGTGTTTTCAATGTCAATATTGCTGCATTCAGTCAGTCTGAAATTGGAACTAATTTTGTTATGAAGAAATAGTGTGCCTTGGAATGTTATAAGTGATGATCTTTGCTATAGTTGAGTATTACTTTATTTGTTCAGTTAGTCTGGTATATGCATATTGTGGCATACATTCTCTGTGATGCAATTGGCATGGAGGTGGTACCAGGCTGGTATCAATATGTATCTTAGTGTGTCACTGGCCTTTGCATGTCAAGTGGTTTTACAAGAATTGACATCTTTTAATTTGGAAGTGTGTGTTTACATGTCATTTTTAGTCTTTATGCACATTTAAGCTATCACTTTTAAAGTTCGTTCCAAGTGATCGATTCATAGCAACTCCATGTCTATGGAAAGCTGATGGACTTCCATGTATATATGTTTGAATTGATACTACACATTTCTTAGTAAGAAGTGCTGATATGCCCTTCGCTTGCTTTGTTTTGATTATTTTCCTTTCTTTATTTTCTTTCTTTAGTTAAATGTGTACTTTGGTCCTTATTCCTTCTAATCCAACCGACACCTCTTGTTTTCTGAAAAAGATCGTCGCTCTGTCCAAGCCATGGAAATTGCAATTAATTATTTTGGCCTCAACAACACTCTTTCCCAGAAAAATAACTAAAACATACTCTAAAGCCACCGGACTGCGCCTTCTCTCTTGAGGAAGACTAGAAGAGAGTGCCGACCGCTGGTGCTAACATAAACTTAGGAGCAGGGTCATGGTTCTTGCTAGAAGGTAGCTTGGTGGGCTGTGGACAAATTCAGCATCCGGTCATCCACCAACGCATGGAGGTTCTGAAACATGTGATTGATTCTGAAATTATTATGAGATATGAGTTTGGATTTGCAAAATGGTGGGATAAAGTGATTGCTGAACTGAGCACATATAATAAGAGCAAGGCTAATAATATAGACTACTGCTGGCTGTATGGATCTTTGTGGCCAATCTCTCAGCCCACAGTTAACTATTCAGTATTAATATATGGTCTTCTTTTTTCTCTCACAAATTTCTTGGTTCTTGTGCACGCTTGCCTTCTCTCTTCTCTTCTATTTCCTCCACTTCAGTATTTAGCCCACCTAGAGCATGATATTATACTTGTTCTAAGATGATAAGATGATATGTGTGGAGCATTCGGACATGTGGTGCTGGTGTGTCCGTTTGAGTGGAGGATGATAAATGAGGAAATAAGAAGGCCAATGGAAATCTTGGGTCAAAATTTAAGGAGCAGCAGCTGAAAACGTGTCCAAATGTGGTATGCACCAGAGTAGACTGAATAGAGATGGAATTGGCATCTAGCCACCAGTACAAATACAAATATATGCTTGGTTTTAAGGCAACGACGGAGCATTGTGTTGACCACAGGAGCTGAAGCCTGTGTGGCGGGCTGCCGGGCACTTGGATGCATGCCCATCAAAACTAACTTCCGTGCTCAGTTGAGTGAGTTCATTCCCTTCCTCACCTCTCTTGCTTCCGCCATTGCTAGCTTTGGGTGACCATGTCACCTCATCATCAGCATTTTAGGTCCCTGATTTCTTCATATGCTACAGTGCGACCCCAAAGAAGGAGAGAACTGAAGCTGCTTTCATTGCCTGATTATTTCTCGTCCTATTTTAACACTCCTGAGATCAGCTGTTATCATTCAGGTCATCTCCGACTAGTCTCATCTCCAGGGCCCTGCGAACGAGCACTATCAGCACTTGTTGGTTGCCATTCATATTCCACCAGCAGCCATGGCGGCCGTGACGACAATGCCATCGGAAACAAGGAAAAGAGCAAGAGGAGGAAGAGGAAGCAAACAGCCAAACAAGGCGTGCTGTCTCCACCATCAGAGGAGGAATTGTCGACTGGGATGGTGAATAATCTGTACCAGAGTGGTGACCCCCTTGGGCGGAAGGAGCTGGGCCAACGCGTGGTCCAATGGCTAAAGAAGGGCATGCAGCTAATGGCCTCTAAATTCGCTTCCTCAGATCACTCAGAGACATTGTGGTTTGATGGCCATATGGGGTTTGTGATGCAGGCACAGGCATACCTTTCTGCCACTGCCATGCCCAAGGGACAGGAAGCTCTGTGCCTCGAGGCCTCTACGCACTACCCCACGCTCTTCGACAACTTTCAGAGAGAGCTTCGTGACGTCCTGCTGCAGCAGCAAGAAGAGGGCCTTGTTCCTGACTGGCGCTCTACGCGTTCGTGGATGCTTCTGAAAGAAATGGCTAGATCAACTGAGCATCGGACAGCTGCACGCAGATCTACAACTCCTGTTATGCATAGTACACTTGGCATATGCCTGGAGAAGACAAGGCTAATGCAGGCTAAAATAGATGGCTTTGTTCAGAAGATGACTGGCCTTCTTCAACTAGAAAGAGATGCATAACTGGAAGTAACCCAGACCACCCAGGATGAGTTGAGTGTCAGTTCAGTGATGGATGGAAAGTCAAAGAAGACAGTGGAGTATTTGGTAACTCATGGTCAGGCCCAAGAGGAGTGTGACACCATCTGCAATTTGAAAGTTATCAGCAGTTCAACTGGTATGTTTTTTTTTTTTACTCAGTTTAAATTTTTAGTGACACCATTTGAAAGTTCTGTACATTTATACATGGTTGCTAAGAGTCTTAATTGACATTTGGTCAATGGTTCATGTTTCCATTGGTGCAGGATTAACTGGTCAACATCTAGTCTTATTTAGAGTCGAGGGAAGCAACAAACTTCCTCCAACCAGACTCTCTCCTGGAGACATGGTTTGTGTGAGAGCATGCAACAGCCAGGGCGAGGTTGCCACTTCAACTTCTTGCATGCAAGCCTTTGTCCCTAATCTCGGTGAGTATGGATGCAGCATTACAGTGGCATTGAAATCACGCCGCGGTGATCCTACCTTCTCCAAGTTTCTTGGGAAAATTGCGCGTATTGATCGCTTACAGGCTCTTGCAGATACACATACGAGGTAATGCAATTTTAGACATGCTTCTATATTGCCTTTGCTTGGTAAGTCTCTTTACTTTGAATAGTCAGCAAACCGTTTTGTTGTTTGTCACAAATAATCCATATGGTAGAGGCACCAAATTGATCATCTATTTTGAAGTTGGCTTTCGGCACATAACACTGTTTCATGGGTATTTATTGTTGATATTAAAAGTTAATATGAGTTTAGACCCTCACCCACCATCCAAGTCTTTGGGTAATTTCTTCTTATTTTGAAAATCGCCTTGTTCCAAGTTCTTTTTTTTTTTAAAAAATATTGTTGGAATAAAGTAACATTGAGTAGGTTCGTCAATATCGAATTGATTGATGTGTAGCTAAGGTTCCTGTACTCAATGCTGTAATGTGTATCTTTTGGAAATATTTTTGCATTTTATGTTAAGCATAATTCAATTCAGGTTGAAGTAGATATGGCATTATGGTAAAAATTTCCAATACTTTCATGTTTTATTCATATCGAAACAAAATATTTTTTTTGTGGGGCTTTACTATGGTACTCCAAAATGATTGTATACTTTTCATTTAGTTAGATTGGATGGCTATGATCACCTATTACCTCATAAAATTTATTTTTTTACTTTTTTTATTTTGTAAAAAATATGATAAATGACCGTAAACCTTTTAGTTTATTTTGCCAAGAAGCCAGTTTTTTACCTTTTTAAAAGCCAACTCAAGAGCTGTTTGTATCAGCTTCTGGCTTTTTGTTGACAGAAGCCAGATAAAAACCAAAACAAACAGGCCCTATCGGAGTACCATAGCATTGCCTTTTTTACATAACAAGAATTATAACCTATAACTATGTATATATTGTTGTTGCAGTGTCATATATATTGCCGGTCTTCCTAGATGAAAAGGCCTCAGCCCTGTCTCATTCATAAAAAACAAAACTAGTTCAGTTTACAGCGCATTTGAGTAGCAGCACAAACACTGCCCCTAATTGGAACCCACAGTAAAACGAGAAGAGGAAATGCCACTGAATACTCAAACGCACAGATAACCTCCAGATCATGAAGACTTGCACTCATCGTCCTAACCAGAACTCTGGAATACAATAGTTACAGAAACTAACAACACCAAAAATCTGCCATCTGTTAGAACACTCTGGTATTCCTTTCTTTCTTTTTGTTTCTAGTATTCTCAGGGTTTGCTCTGCTATTTGGCGGTTTCTGTGTCACTGGTAGTCACATGTGGAGTGTATGCCGGTGAAGGACACACCTATTTATGATCAATGCTTGACCACGATTATCTGTTTGAGACATCTTGCTATGTTCTGTTCTAATTTCTTTGTAGACCTTGAATACTATTTAATTCAGGAAATTTGTCTGATAAATCACACCGAGAATCCTATGTCTTAAATGATCTGAATTTAGAAAGATTATTTATCGAGATGTTCAACCCATTCACCTATGAATATGCTCTGTAGCGCAATTGTGAAGCACTGATGATTCTTCAGAAGAGAGGGTTACAGAAAAGAAATGCATCCATTGGAGTAGTAGCCACTCTGTTTGGAGACAAGGAAGATGTGATGAAGCTGGAGGGAAATAATCTGATGGATTGTGGTGGATCAGAAGTACCTGATGATGGTTTGTTGGAGAGGCACAGCTACAGCTTTGATACCTCTCAGTCAAGGGCTCTTGCACTGGCCTTGAACAAGGAGAGGCCTGTCCTAGTTATCCAAGGGCCTCCTGGAACAGGCAAGACTCGTTTACTTAGCTATCTTATCACATGTGTTGTGCGCCGGGGTAAACGTGTTCTCGTGACAGCTCCAAGCAACGCAGCGATTGATAACATAGTGGAGAGTTTATCAAGAAGTGGACTGAACATTGTACGAGTTGGAAATCCTTCTAGGATATCTCCATCTGTCACTTCAATGTCCTTGGGAGAGATTGTTACCAAGAGGCTTGAAAAATTCACCCAATAGTTTGAGAGGAAAAAATATGCCTTGAGAAAGGACTTGAAGCGTTGCATACAGGACGACAATTCTTTAGCTTCAGGTATTCGTCAACGATTGAAAAAGCTCGGCAAGGACTATAAGAAGGAGGAGAAGGAAGCAATCAGGGAGGTTCTGTCAAATGCTGAGGTGGTGCTATCAACTAACACAGGGGCAGCCGACCCACTTATCAGGGGAAATGGTTGCTTTGACCTGGTAATTATAGATGAAGCTGGACAAGCAACTGAGCCCTCATGTTGGATCCCTATATTACAGGGAAAGCGTTGCATTCTTGTTGGTGATCACCATCAGCTTGCACCAGTAGTATTATCAAGAAAGGCTATGGAAGGTGGGCTAGGAATGTCTTTGTTAGAGAGGGCTTCATCACTACATGATGGACTGCTCACTACGACATTAACAACACAATACAGAATGCATGAACTATAGCTAGTTGGGCATCAAAGGAGATGTATGATGGATTGCTCCAATCGTTCCCATCTGTTGCTTCTCTACTTCTTGTCGATTATCCATTTGTCAAGGTACCAATGTTCTATCCATATATTTCTATAAAGCTAAAAGAATTTACCAAGGTGTAGCTTGCCACTTTCAGTCGACAAAAAATCTATGAAGCATGTTTATCCTGTCAAGGCTACACTTCTCATTCCAGATTTTGTACCGCCCTATGGCACATGTTTACTTGCCACCCTCTACAAGAAACAATGCAGCCATGTTTTCTGTGTTCCTTTTGAATATTAATGTCATTACAAACAAATTTGCCTATAATCTATATGGCTTAAAAAAATCCATATCTCTTGCACATAAACATAGTTGTAGAATGAAGTGTTGTTTCCAGTCCTGTATGGTAAATTATAGCGCCACAGTTTTATTTCTACAGGGATTTAGTGTAGTTAATTATCTGGTCAAAAGTAGTTTGTCTTATAACAGATCAATGAATATTCCACTATTATTTGCTAATATTGTGTGCTACAAAGTATTTAGAGAACATGCCTTAGCATGTATTTATTTAGTAGAGTGGTACAACAATGACCAGACACAAACATAGCTGGATAGCTAAAACGACAAATATGGAAGCTACAGTCCAGTACTCGCACAACAACTACAATACATCCAAGAACAAGACTAGCCTTCCACAAAAACAGAAGACAAATTCATTAGTATAGAAGGAGCACAGTTACAGTGGACCACAAGGTATAACCTGGACGGAGCTAGGATAAGCACAAGCCAATCAGCAACCCAGAAACTCCAAAGTGTGCTGCATCCTCCTGACTAGAAGATGTTGAAGAATGTTATACAGGCGACCAACTCCAACACCATCCCACTAAACAAGCCATCTAGACAAGCGACACATGCCCCTTGAATGCATCTGGGCTCCAATTTTGGTTTTGAAATTTTGGTGGTTAACGAACACAAGTGCTTGTGACAATAAGCACCCTATTCGCTCGTTGGTTTCAGCCAGGCTTATTCAACCAGCCAACAGTATTTTCTTCTCACAGCAAACCAGCACCAGCCAGCCCAAACCAGCCCAGAAACCAACCAGCGAGCACGCCGAATGTGTGTTTTGCAGCGGTTACATTCACAATGAAGTCACTTGTTGGCCACATGGTTTTCTTGGTCCCGAGTATGGAGCAAAGGATATCCACAAAGACTAAAGACTCTAGGTCAAGTGCAAGTTTGGTGCTTGGAGGCACTTGACTTAGAGTTATAGAGCTTTGTTTTCCTTTGGCCGCTATTAAGGGGGGTCCAAGACATGCAACTCGATGGGAGTTTGAGTTGAGATAATTTGAATATGCACAAGTGTTATTCTCTTAGCAAGTCGGAGCCTAAGTGGCCCAATTGGATGGGTTTTAAATCAAGGATCTTAGAAAAGTTGAATTCGATAAGATCGGACTCAAAACGTGCTTAAATATGCACTAGAGAATGTACCAAATGATTGGGATCAACCCAATAGATCATTTGGTGGAACTGTGAATATATAGTTCAGTTTGAGACTTGGCCCTAGTATAGAGTGTGCATGATATAATCCGTTGGTGACTTCGTGACACCCAAAGGATCAACATGTGGAGCCCTGACTTGACTGTGTCAAGTGGCCAAACTACTATTATGCACCATGTGATACGGTTGAACATTGTGATGCCTGGCGGATCATCCGACGACGGTGTGCCTTGACTGTTTATCGAGTTGGCCAAGTCAATAGAAAACATCGTATGATCTGGTGGTGACTTCGTGATACCCAAAGGTTTGTCTGGTGAAGCATATTCTATTATATTCCCTTCTGATCATTAGAAAACAGGGAAGTATAGGATCATTGTATAGTGCGACCAAGTGATACTCAATGAATCATCCGATGATGTTTGCGCTTGGAAACTTTTTGCAGTGGCTATCTAGGGCTTCACACCCTGTATGTGTTCCTTTCCTAGCTAATTTGAAGCTGCTATTTCACTCCAGTTGTCTATTGAAAGGGTTTGTGAAGTGTGGCAGAGCTAAGCCTAGATTGTCTTGTGAGACTGTGCTTTGTATGGATCCATTATTCTCAGCTTCGATTTCATCAAAGTGTTGTTGATGATTTATTATCCATAGTGTTCGACAACACCTACACAGTGCGGTGGAGGACTGGGTGACCCTTCCCTATGGAGTTTCTTGTTGGGAGGCTCCTATTGAAGTTCAGGGTTTGAAACCAACCATTCCATAGTGGAGAATGGGTATTCACTAGTGGAGACTAGACTTCATGGCTCAAGGGAGAAAAACCGAGTCTTCATGTACTCTTTGGTGCTCCAACGTGGATTAGGGTGTCGTGGCAATAACCCGATATAATGGGAAAGAAATTTTTTTATCACTTTTGCCTCTTTTATGTTCCTGCATGTAACACCCTCGATGTTACGCTCTAAATAAATTACTAAACCATGTCATGAGCATCATGTTTACGTGATAATACATGTGACAGAATGAATAGATGAAGTATTGCAACCTAAAATGATCAATAAAAATATTAAATGAGAAGCTATTGCACAACTCATGTATATCAAGTAGCGTTTAAAACTAATTTTTATTGAACAAAAATACTATAGAACATATATGTGGCGCTTAAATAGAATTTGGAATATGAACTTTATAGATGACAATAAAATACTTATTGTGGAAAAATAACATTGCTAGCCAACACTTCTAATAGCCTAAAAATGGAACTTGAAATCAAATTCAGCTCAAAGACTTAGAAGAAATTAAGTATATATAAGCAGCAAGACAGTGCAATGTTTGGCGATTTATTTTGAGAAATCGAGTTAGGAGGTGGTGTCGTGTTTTATCTCGGGTTGGTAGCCTCATATGCCATCTTGAGCATGGTGAAGAGGGTTTAGGTCCAGAAGCAACCGTTTAGTTGTTATAGGTGCTTTAAAATGCGTGCACGACACGTTCTTGGCCTAACTCGCCGGGTGGACGCGATCACCCAGCTCGGGCGCTCGGCGTCGCCGCGCTGGTCGCGCGTGGTCGGCCATGGCTACCTCTGGCCTGGTTGCGGCCCGGCTGTCGCTGGCCCACCACGCGGAGCTACTACTACCGCCTGTCCTACCCCGTGTCGCGACGAAGCCATTGCCGGCGCCGTCACCTCGTTGTCGCGTCCGCGCACTGCTACCCTGCCTCATGTTGCCGCTACCGATGCCACCGCGACGCCATGCTGCGCTGCTGCCGCTCGCTCTACCACCGCAGGCATGTGGACTATCCCGCCGCAACGCCTGTCCCGCCCCACGCTGCGACGAAGCCGCTGCAGGTGCCGTCGCCTCACCGTCACGTCCGTGCCTTCCTTTGCACCCCTTCCCCGATGCTGGCCCGGTTTGGTGCTCGCCATAGCCGCGCGCACGTGGTAGCGCGAGCCATGCCAGTCGTGGACGCGCGCGCTTGTCCTCATCGCCTGCGCGTGGGCCTCCACGATCATGCCGGCCACATCCCACCAAGGTGAGGCCGAGCCGAGCCCACCTATCGCGCACTGTCTCTCTCTTTCTCTCTTTCTCCCTCTGCTGCCGTCGTCGAGCCGCGCCATCAAATTACCCAGTGAACGATCATCTCCATTCAACTCAGTGCATCCATGGTTTCAACATCACATCCTCTCACTGCCCGACCCCACCTAGCCTTGAACCATGCAAGGCCAAGCTCCAATTTGGAGTTTTTCCCGCCGCCGTGCCATTAAGGCCACGCTCGGCCATGGTCGAGGGCAGCCCTCCTACCACCCATCCCGAACCAATTCATCTGGACCACTAGCATAGCCTTGACTCCCTCTTCACCCTGGGCGCCTTAGCCGAACCACTACCGCCTCCCCGTCATCGCTGACGCGACCATGCCGCCACGGTGCGCCGCCGCATGGCTCGGCCGCACGTGGCCAGCCCTTCTCCATCACCTTCTTCTCCAACCATCACATCGGTTATGTCCATGGTAGTCTACTGATGCTCACTCGCTAGCCAGTTAGGTCCTTAGGTGCCCTGGTTCGCCAGAGCAGTAGCGTCACCATCGTGGATGGTCGCGCGTCACCACAGCTCACTCCAGTGCGTCCTACCGCCCTGCGTTGCTGCTCGGTGTAGGCGGTTTGACCATAGTTGAGGTCGGCTTGACCGACGAGCCAGTACGGGTATGGATGAAAACGGTACGGATATTTATTCGACCGTCCGTTCGACCGAACAAATATGAACATTTATTCGGATAGTTACTCGGATATCCGTTTTTTTTTCGGATACGGATACTAAAACGGATATCTTAGGCGGATATCAAATACGGATGTAATATCATCGATATCCGGCGGATATCGGATAATCCGGATAAGTATCGGATATATCCGGATATTTAAAAACGGATATTATCCGGATATTTATTCAAAATTTAAAAATCACAAATTTGAACCATCCAAACTATCTCAAATGGAAAGTTGACCAAAACAACAATTATAGATCTTGATGAGTTGAACAAACTTGGTATTCAAAACTTTT